GAGCGATCACTACGGATCACCAATGAGAGTGATCGCGTCGGCGAGTGACGAGGAGGACGTTGTGCTGAGGTTGAAGTACAATCTGTTGAGTGGTTGCATGCCCAAGATTATCATACCCAACGAAAGAAGGAAGTTTGCATTCTCGAACGATTCTGAACTGGTCAAAGAACACTTCACAGAGGACAAATGTGATCAGGTCTGAGTTGATTTGAATGACTCTTATTGATGAGATTTTCGGATGGGATGGATTTATTTTATAGAAAACATGAACATTGTTTTGCTGACAATGGATGGGACTTAATATCTCGTTAAGAGTTCAGAATGAGTTGTTAGGAACATACAGAAGGTAACTGATAGATTATTGATGGTTCGAGTTGTTAGGCCGTGTTTGATTGGGATCACTTGTTAGGCACTGATTGATATACCTGTTGCGTTGTTTTGGTATAGCAATTGGATTGTTTAGTAACGATATAATGTGAATGGTATGTGAGTTTATTACGGTGATGTTAATTGATAATAATTGTAGTCACCGTTGGAATCAGACGAGTTGGCTGAGCATTTGGCATTGAAATATGGAGTGAATATAATTAGTGGTGTGAGCAGTATATTGTCGATAGTGTGCCGAGAGTGGCTGTGCGACTCGGCGAATTATGTGATACCGATTTGTGTGAAGCATGTGTTTGATAAGAACACAGGTCGGGTTTTGATTTGGTATTGAATTGGGTGATATTTGTGTTGATATTGAGGAATTTGATTAAGTGAATGCAGTGTTGGATTGATTTTGTTGTTTTTGTTTAGGACGTACGAGGAGATTGTGCGTGGTGGGTAAGCGATGCGTGGTGGACACAATCAATTATCCATCATTATGGAGTCGTTTCTTACGATATTCAGTTCGTATCGCTCTCCATCAAACCCAGAAAACATCAGCATTAAAGACTGGTGGAAGACAGAGGGCAGTGATGAGTAAAATTGGTAAAACTGAACGAACATCATCCGATGTACAGAAAGGTTTGTAGTTATTGTTATTGTTACAGTTACAGTTGTTATTTTTTATTTGGTGAGTCAGTTGTATTCATTTGTCGATTACTGTTTTGTTGAATTGTTGCTGTTTTGATAGTTGTTGAAGAGATTTTGCATTTTTAATGTGAAGCTGGTTGATAGAAGTTTGAAGAAATGAGGAGATTTAATATGGAACGGGATTGCTTTAGAGGGTGATGGTGCAGACGAATCGGTGACGATTCAGGATAATTCATCGACAAGAGAAGGGGAAAATGATTCGAGTGCTGAGGCTGGGTTGAGTGGTCGGAATGAGGCTGATACGAATAATGCAGCGAGTGAAAATAATGGCGAGTAAGTTCACGTTTAGTGATCGTTGAATGAGAGAAATTTTAATGGCATTTCATTTAGCTTCATGTATATTTCAACGTAATTCGCAAAAGATACAATTGGTATTATGATTTCATTCAGACTGAGTGTTTTGTATGAACACAACTATCAAATTTAGTATAATATTTAAAAATTCACAAGGAATTGTATGAGAGTTTTTTAGATTGGTA